ATAACCAGCTATGTATATTCAATCAGTAGACTATAATTTTGACCAATGAAAAAAACCAATGAAAGAAAAATACCAAACTACACAAAGAAAAAAATGAGTTAACAATGGAAAAAGAGGGCAATACACACTGAGCTGCTGAGACTGGACACTGAGGGAACAGTTTATTCTCTCAGCCTCCGGTCCAGGCTAAGTCACAGGTCACACTGAGAGAAAAAAGCAGAATGGCTAAGGGCTCACCCTCAAGGAAGGAAGCCAGTTAATAATGACAAGACCTCGCAAATGAGCAGTCATCCAGCTTCTTAGCTTGCTAAGTAAGTTAGCTTGCTAACTTACTTGCTTTCCCAGAGTCTAGCTGCTATAGGTTAGACCTCCCTAAGAACATGCCTGAGCGGAGCCAGTGTTCAGGCAATCTTCCCAGAGACTGGGCTATTCCCATCATCTCCCAAAGGAGAACTGCTACACCTAGTGTAAGCACACACTGGGTCTAAAATTCACATTCACTCCTGCTCTCCTCCCTGGTGGCTCTCTCACTCACACTCACTCACTGCACATCTGTGCACAGGTGCATGGCAGGAAAACCCAGGACAAGCTGGGCTGCCCAGACATTGAGTGTTGAGACACCCCCCAAGACCACCAGCTGCACAACCATCCCGGGAAGGTGGAGCCTCTCACACTCAGGGGCACAGCTGCACCCACTCAGGGAGCAAGCGCTCCTCTTAGGACAGAACACTCTTAGAGATTAGAGCAAAGCCAAGGGCTAGGAAAAGCCCTCTGACCTTACCCAAAGCAGCAAAGAGAGATGTGCCAAGAGGGCCGCAGAGCAGGGTGGTTGTTTCCCCCGTGGTCCCTCTGCCATGAGGGAAAAGCAGCTTGGCTTTGGGTCAGAGAAACTAAGGTGATCCTGATCCTTAATTAGGGATCTTCAAGAAAATAATCCTCCTGATGGGGAAAAAAACTGCCTTGGTGAGGGGGAGGGTATAGCTTAGTTGATAGAGTGCCTGACTAGCATGCACAACATCCTGGGTTCAATCCCCAGTGCCTCTATTAAACAATAAACAAACCAATCTAACCCTACCTTGGAGGCGGCTGTCTCTAGAGCAGGGTCCATATCACCCACCTCAGTTCTTCTACAGGTGAGGAACTCAGGGTCTGACCACGTGAGGACAGTGGTCCATGGCAGGGCTCACAGCAGGGCAGCAGTGCCGACACTGAGAGCCTCAGCTCAGAATTCTGTATGTTCGACACTAACACTTACTAGTCCAGGTTTAACCTAACAATGGGTCACCAAAATTTCCCAGGAAGGGCTGTAGCATAAAAAGGAACCAATGGCTTTGAAACATAATCTTTCAATGGTCAGGCAGGTGGTATAACATACATGCAGAAAAAAGGGCTATCCCCTTTTTAAATTATATTTCCTTAGACAATGAAGAAATGGAACATGGGACCACTGGACTTCCTAGTTTGGAAAGTTTCATATTGGATGTTAAATAAGTGACAGTTTATTATTATGAGAACTTCCACCCCTCAAACATATACAGCTCTGAACACAGGGAGTCAGAGTAGATATGCAGGATTCAAGGATGTTTTTCTTAATAAACAGCAAAGATGGTAAGACAGACAGGCTTGAGACAAACATGCCACAGGAAGCCCAGGTATGAGAACCATGAGGCAAAAGCGTGAAAAAGAGTAACAGCAACAACCTAAAGACTCCAGGTTCAGAAAGATAAATACGTAACAAGGTACAGAACCTGTTTTCAACATTGACTATATAACAAAACCTGATGCAGACCAAAGGGGAGAGTAGCACAAAGAAGCTGACTGACCAGAAAAGGACTCATAGCCGCAGGGCAGGGTTTCCACTGAGGGGCATTTCTTCAAGCAAAGAGGAAGGGCCTAAAGAGGAGAACCTGGCAACCAAGAACATCCTGGACACTCTCAGGAGCTGTGCAGGCTGGGAAGAGCGGCTACATGGCAAAGGCATCCAAGGGACCCCGGAGGAAGAGCTAAGTAACAGGCCAGGAGAGGTAGGGGAGGTCACAGGGGCATTGGAACTTGGGGACCCTACCAGTGAGTCCTCACTTCCTCACCAAGAAAGGAAGAACTAGGAAGAAAGTTTGTCAATGTTTTCAGCATCACCAGGAGAGAGTGCATGAGGAGAACACAGTGTGGCCAATCCCCCTCCAGACGCAACTAATTCCCTCACTGCAGGAGGGTGTCCCAGTCATGCCACCACTGACCACAAGCACCACACTTCAGATAGGGTTCACGACTGAGGTCTGCAAGGTGAATCTTCTCCCCCTGGGTGGAGGCAGAGTTCCCAGGACCACTGCTAGCCCTGTCCTCCCAATCTCCCGGAGACAGAGAGAGAATGGAAAAGTTAACTCCAAGCCCCTTTCCCCACAGCTTTCCACTGCAGGTCAAAGCACTTAAGGAGAACTTCAATGAGGCTTCAAACCTCCCTGAGAATATTACCAATCTTCTCTGACAGCATCCAATATTCAGCTGTCACTTTGAGATACAACTCCTGCTACAGTAAAATTAATTCAAAAAAAGAAAAACAGGTTGAAGAATGAGACTTTAACAATGAATTCACTGTTAAAAGCTAAGCTTTTAGCCGGATGAATTCTGACTGAAATGCTGCTGAGACACACACAGCCTTTCATCAGCCCTCTCCAACATGGGCAGACCTGTCACCAGCTCCGCAAACAGGCAGAAGACACAGACCTCCAGAGCTAACTTCCTTGGCATCCAGACATACCTTCAAACCACACCTTTTGTGGTTTCAATATTTTGAATCCCTGCAGGCTCCAAGTGGTTGGTACAGAGAGCACAATCCTATCCGTAGGACAGAAGAGGTCAATGGGCCACAAGGAAATATGCACCCACCTATATCAGGCCCCTCGACCAGCCTGCAGATGGAAACCACCCTTGTTTTTTCTTCTGTGGGCCATGAACCCAGTCATGGGCTGCTAACGTCAGATTTGTCCCTCTTTTTCACACACAGAGTTTGCAGCGCTGTCAGTTCTCGCTTCTGTGGGCCTATGCGTAATCCAACCATTTAAACAGAAACCTGAATCAGTTGCTCTGATAAGAGATTTGAAGCTCACAACTGTAAATCCTTTATAATGAACTCTCTCTCGCAATACATTCAAAACAACTTGGAATTTCTCGGAGAAAAAATTAGTTTAAATCAGGAAATTTTTCTAGACCAGGAGGACAGAAGCAGACTTTGTGCAACTATATAAACATAACCAGTGTCACGCACAGAAAACAGGTCCCCAAGAACCACCATGAACCCAACAGGCCTTTCTCCTCTAAGACACCATCATCAGAACATGCTTCCCACTACTCTTGAGAAAATGCACTTGCCTGTTGATTAATCTAGGGGCTGGCTACACAACCAGTTCCCCATATTCAAATAATTCTTTAAAGGGTCTGGTCTGGTATCACACTAAACAAGAGTGTAATCCAGTTACAGAAGAAGGTACTACCAAAAGGTCTTAACAATACATGTCCAAAACGTACAGTTTCCACAACAGCACTTCCTCCCCAGTGATCTGCCCTTTGAACTTGCCTTCAAAACAACTGTGCTCCGCACCCCTCTGGCCAGCTGTCATCACCAGGGCAGGCGCAGAGCACGCACACACTGGCCCTAGCCCGGGCACCTGCTGAGGGAATCATTTCTGCATCCGGTGTTCCCCAGCAGCGGCTCCTTGCTCTGCAGTCACAGAAGTGACGTATCACATGGGATTCCATCAAAGTCCATTTCCACAGAAAATACTCCATAAGAAGGGTAAAGTGTAGTGCCTGTGACAGTTTTCCTCACACTATCAGAAGGGACTGACCCTGTTTGACCCCGTGCACTTCTGCAGCACTTCCCTGTCCATTACACACTTGCCTTACATGCACCCAAACCCTACATTAAGTGGCTCAAGGGACGAGGGCACAGATTGAAAAGGGGGACTCACTCCACATCTGCCTTTTCCTGCTCCCCAAAACTGTGCTAAAGGCAGCCGAGAGGCCAAGTCCTGCTTTAAAGAGCTGCCCAAGGCCTCTCTTCAGGTCACATATCTCAACAAGCTGCTGCGGTGATCCTTCTTACAAAACGCACATATGAAGAGTAAAACAAACCTACGCTTCCACCTTGTATTAGTATGGGGACCTCACCTTGCCAGCTCTGGACTCAGCTCATAACTGCTGTCAGGGGCGTCACAGGGACAGAAATGCATCCACTGCATGAGGCCACATAATGAGAAGCTACCTAAACGGGCATGTGAAAATCAGAACCCATTTCTTTCCCTGTTCTCTGCCTTCCCCACTGCCCTCCCACACAGACTCAGCCATACTTGCAAAAGACAGAGCCACCCTAGAGTGTGCAGGGAACCACTCTACCTGATCGACAATTTTACCTTTAACAAAATCGTTGCACAGTTCTTTTTTGTGAAGAAAAGAGTCAAGCCTCACCCACTGAGAACATCAGCCCTCAAATAAGGAGGGACCAGAGCCTCTTTCCAAACAGCTGCTTTCTGACAGCATGAAGCTGAAACAGGCTCCAGGGGTCACAGAGTTCAGCCATCTGCCCAAAGAAGTAAATAAGTGTGCTGTCTTTCCATGACAAGATGCCCCTCCTGCCCCGAGCACAGCGTCAGAGGACATACACAATCCCTGAGAAGATGTCCTGGGCAGTGGCACTGAAGACCTCCTTAGGCCAAGTGCTGCACTGAGCAGCCCAGCAGATCCTCCCTGGGGGCACTCCTCACTTGAAGGGCAGGGTGGCACTCAGGCCTCTGCCATTGCTCAGATGGGGGTTCAAATTGCACTCTATTAACCAGGCAGGTACTTAACCTCTCTGCACTTCAGTTTTCACACCTATAAAATGGGAATGACACCTACCTCGCAACACTGTAGACAGAAGTCAAGCAACACCATGTGAGCTATCTTGCAAAGTCCCTGCCTTAAAGTAAGTGCTCAATAAATGGTTCTTACAGCCTCTGGCTCACCTTAATGTCAAATTGAGCCAGGCCATTTCCAGACTTCCCAATTCCTACCGCTCCCCCTGTTGGTGGTATATACTTAAAGAAATGGGAAAACAACTCAGACAGAGGGCTTCTCATAAAGTGCCTCTTTAAAAGTTCAGGTACAAATTCACTTCAACAGTGCAAATCTATCTGTCCTCAGGTGAAGAATCCCATACTTGGGGCATCTCTGCCATGAGTGACGGTAAAGACAGCAAAGTCTCATGTACATGTGGGGAAATCTAGCTGATGAAGACAACATTTCCTGACCGGGAGGTTGATACTTATTCTGTAACTCATTTTTTTCTCGGTGAACTTCAGCATTTTTTCACTAAAAAGCTGCCTTCTGCGAAGAAAACTCCAGATGTCAAATGTCCATCACATGGAACTACCAAGACTATGAGAAGATATTCTTTTCCTCTTCCCATAGGCGCCATCAGAGTACACACCTTGCATTGTAATAGCATCACTGTGTGAAAGTTCATTTTACAGACTTCCATGATCATTGTCAGCCCCAGCCTCCACTGAGGTCCGCCAAACAACCTAATTCGTGTTTCTGTGTATTAGTCTAGGCACCCCGGGGTACAGCCACACATGTTGCAATAGTCAAAGACATCTCTTCGCTTTTCACCGTTTTTCTCAACTGAACAGGTCCTCCTCCTCTCAGACTTCAGATTATCAACCATCTCTGTAAAGCAGAGTTCTTAACCTGAAGTCCCCGGTTGACCTGGAAAAGGTTCGAGAGCCTCCCGTAGTGATCACAAAATACGGTGTAGCTGTGCGTTTTTCATAGGAGGGCACTCAGACCTTCCCGCAGAGTCTCAAAGGGGCTCACGACCCTTCAAAAAGATTAAGTTGTTACCACGGAAAATAATGGGTCAAGTAAACTTCTTGGGTCTTCCTTCATTTTAAGGGATCTGCCTTTTGACCCAAATTTTTCAAGCTGTCTAGACATTCTTCCATCATCCACTTCACATTCGCATACAAGGTATAAACCCTTAAATCACCTTCCCAAGACTCCAGAACTTAACAGGAAAGGAAGCAAAAAAACACCAGGGATACTTTTAGCAACAGAGAGAAAACACTGGAACACTAGCGATACTTTCACCAAAACATTTAACCCAACAAGTGCTTTATCTTTTTTCTTCGCTCTAACATCTCCGCCCGGGCACGCTCACTTGCCCGCGGTGGTAGGTTCAAGCCCGGCTTTCCGGAGGCTCCCAACACTCTGATGCCGATGCCAAAGTGGAGCCTCAAGGCAGGAAAAGCATCCAAATGCCGCTCCGCGAGGCCAGGAAGGACGTGTATCGGAGTCGATCAGATTCCATCCCAATCGAGAATTCGGAGGGGCCCGAGCATCAAGTGCTTTGAGGAAGAACTCGCACCTCCTGCTTTCGCTGCGAACAGAGGCACCAGGACCCGATCCCAGGTGAAGGCCCAGGGCGGTTCCTC